TTATAGGGTTTATACGGAATATAATATTGTATAACTATATTAATTCAACTGTAAACCTAAAAATTTACAGCCAATTTTGAAAGAGAAGCATGTTAGCTCTGGAAATTATTATTGAATATGTCGATGCTGTTGTAATGAAATGCCTCTTCTAATTATATGGTTAATAAATAATTTTTTTTTTAATCCCCTTGACGAAAACGAAAGGTAAGGAGGCTAACAGAGAGAAAAATGCCAGTGGCCAAGGAACTGTGAGAGGGAAGCTTCCGAACGCACATCTTCAGAGCCTGATTGTTCAACAAATGAGGGAAGGCACGGAACCGAAGCATGGGGAGCAAAGGAGGACAGGGGACTAGAGGGGTAGAGACAGGGCGCAGACCACAGTGGCCTCCGGGTTAAGAGCAGCCTCATCTGACTGGACAGGACTGCGAGCACTCAAGCTCGGGACAGAGGGAACACGCGCTCAAACCTTCCCAAAAGGATGCCTCTGGTCCTCAATCAGCAAACAAGACATCTGAACCAGCCCGGAAGTGACCACCGAGTCTGCATCTTTCTAGGGCAGCCTTCACCCCACCTTTCTGGAATCCTCTTCATCCTGTTACATTAATGATCGCTTTCTCCTCAGCCTCGGACAGTCTCTAGGCTCTGCGTTCCCCCGTCCTCACAAGTCTTGCCTCTCTGGTTGTGTCCCCTCCTGAACCCCCCTGAAGGTCCTACTGCCTCTCCTGAACCCTGGTCCCCGACGTAGCCCGTTTCCCTCCCAGCCCTAGCCAGCCGCCTTGGGACGCCCTGACACCGCCCCCACACAAGCCCCGCCCCCGAGATCACCTGACCCGCCCGAAGCTCCACCCACGGGGCTGCCTGCGGCTCGGCGCGCCACGGAGGTCTGTGCTTCCTCCTTCCGAGCTGGCACAGGCTCCACGGCCTGTTCGCGGCTGAGCTCGCAGAGCCTCGGCGCCCACTGGAAAGCGCCAGGGCCGCGCCGTCCCACACCTCACAAGCGCCTGTGCCCTCACCAGGTGCGGCCGGGCGGATCGGGGTGTGGATGGGGGCCTGCCCTCCTGCGGCCTCGACTTGCCCACCCTGCTGCTCTGGGGCTTTCCGGTCCTTTTCTGGCGCTGTCCCCGACTTCAGTTCTTCCTCTGACGACCTCCACCCTTCATCGAAAGCTGTCCGTGCCCCTCCATTTCCGCTACTCTCTAATGGATAGCTACTTAGCCTTTTATCCCACTGCCTTGCTGACATTAGTCCCAGAATCCTAATGCCACCTTTGGGGGGAAAAGAGTGACTGGGGGGGGGTGTCTAGTTTATGTTGCATTCTGCCGATGAAATGTTGTCAAAACAAGGCAAAGTTATGTTTCCTAGCTTACCTCAGGTATTATGTCCCTAAATATATAAATTCAATTCTACAAAAGTGATGGACTCGGCTGCTAACAACTGTAACTCCAGTTCCAGGGGATTCAACACCTTCTGACCTCTATCTACAAACATGAGTGCACTCAACATACCTGCAGGCAATACACTCATATGCATA